AGTGTCATACTCTTCCAGTAATAGAATGCTGAGTTTCTTCAACTGCGAGCTAGTCAAAGCAAAATATATCATCTATAACCCCTCAATTTTTGCTACCCAAGGGAGAGCTGGCAAGCAAAATTCTAACTCTAGGCATTTTTCTTTATGAAAAGCTGAGCTGTCATCCTGGTGTGAATTATCACCTCTGAAGCTCTTGGTCTTGGAGGAATCCAAAGTGCTTGGTATTATAACTGGTTTCCTGCAAATGACACCTGTCTTTCCTGTGCAGTGTTAATCTTGAGTGACTTGTCAAACTGGCCAGTTGATCAGTAAGATGAAGTTTGACTTTGAAAAGCACATTTGGCTTGGGCAGCACAATTGCCATCCCTAGGTAACAGGCAGGTGAACCTCACTTAGACAAATGGAGCAACCAAATGTGATAAAGGTGAAAGTTATAAAAATTATAAAATCCAAGAAAATCACCTGTAATTTGATCAAAAGTGACGGGGAAAACCCGCTCAAGTGCAGTGACAAAATAGAGATAAGAACATGAAAAGATGTTCAGAAGACCTTAGAAAATGGGAGACTCCAAACTTCAGCTCCTCTTGGTTGCCACCCATCTGACTTGTACTGGAGAAAGAAATGCCAGCTTGCTTGTACTGGCAGCAATAACACCATATAAAACAAGTTACTATTGTACATTATTATAGTAATGTAACATTATACAGCTTGAATGAGAGTCTTATGGGATCTGAACTTTCTCATCTAAGACAGTAAGTCCTTGTTTGATTATAAAATATTCCTCTTCTGTTTCAAATTGCATTTTTGAAATACGCCAAAGGGTGCTAATAGCTGATGAATGCAACAGTTTGCAACATATAAAGTACTATGATGTAGACTGAAAGAGCAGGGATCAAAAGTATAAAGATTATGATGTACTTCTGTAATCTCCCTCTGAAGCATGGCACACTGAGGAGCACAGAGAATTAACAGACACTGACTGCCATGTCTCTGAACCACATCTTAATTTAATGCAAATGAATGAGTAAGAAACAACTATATTAAACAGTACATATCACTGAATAAGCAACTTATAGTATTTTCAGTATTACAAAATCCACTGATTAAACAATTAGAAAACCTACATAGCTGGAATTCTCAAGACCAGTCAGCATTGAGCACTGATTCCTACAAGATTTCTAGCCGCAATTTCAATGGAACCAAGGTAGGACGATAGCTAAACCCCCCCCCAACTTCTATTCAAGTTATTATTTTTGAAGCTGGATATGCACATTGAGATCAATTTTATGGCATTGTCTGTAGTTTCAGAGGAACAAATTTGAAAACAGAAAAGTAGTTCTTGGAGGGGGTGTCTTTGAATTTTTTTTAGTTGTTCTTTACAAAGCTATAAAAATGCTCTTAAAAGAACACAGTTCTAATATTCTATTAGAATATTCTAATATTCTTTTAAGTTATTTAAGAATAGTTAATATTAGCTATTAACAGAATAGTTTTAAATTCTGTTAATGTACCCTTTGATAAACCCATAAAAGTTCATCTAAATTAAAGTCTTCTCTTAAAAAAGTACAGATTTTTTTTTTTATTGAATCAATAGCCTTGACATCTAACTTTCTGTTTAGAGGGTGACAGTCATTCTGAGCAATGGAACCAAAAGGTGCATAAGACATGGTGTTGGGGAAGATGCTCACTGACTTAAGTTTTACCACGCATTTTTGTAATTGTGCATAGCTCTCATTCATACCTGAATATTCTGCATACTAGCAGCATTCCCTCAAAACAGGCAGAAAATCTTCAAATGTGGTTTTCTATGGTGGGAGGCATTAATGTTCCTTATCCATACTAACATAGGCATCAGAAATATAAGATACTATACACAGACTGATATTTCCACAATCTATGACATTGCTTGTGTATGCTCCTCTCTCCTCTCCCCCAAGGGATTCCAAAGCTTTTAAAAATACTTTGTGGACTCCTAAAAGATTTTCAGTGAAGCCAAGAACCTTACCCTAACTGCTTTCAAGCCTTTGGAAAATAAAATTGCTATTGTTAATCATCTTTTAGGAGTGGTTCACAGATCTGGAGAGGTTCATCAACTGTAACTGAAAAACAAAGGTGTAGATGATATGAAAAGTAGTATTGAAAACAGCATTCCAAGACAGTCTACATCTTGAGGGATTTCTTCAGCTCTCCCTTCTGCATCATCATCACCATACTTACTCCACCTACTGTCTTCCCCAGATATGGAGGCTTTAGATGCTACAACTGTGGCTTGACAAAGAAAGAACTAACAGGAAGTAAAAATATTTCTTGAAGTAAATGCAAAAGAGATACTGTAAAAGAAAAGCCAAGTTAAAACCCCCAAAGTCCTTCAAACTGTTTATATAATAGCTTCAGCAAGTAGATAAATTTGTTTATAATGTAACTTGGCAGCAACGTCAATAACTTTGGGAAGATGGTATAAAAATTAAATGGCATTATTGAATGTGATTTACAAAAACTGTATTTGGCTTTTCATACAAAATGTACGTAAACCTTTAAAGATGTTCTATTAAAAAATATAATGTAAGCAAAAATTAGGTCAGTTGTTAAAAAAACTTACTGATCTCTGTAGATCTACTGGGTACTGGAGGAGGCTGTGTACCATTGCGGGTAGGTGTTGATGACTGAGGGGATATGGGAGAAAAGGGAACCATATCAAAGATGTCAGTGGAGGGTGATTTAGGTGTCACACTGCCTGCCTACAATAAGGACAATAAATATTAGGGCAATATTTCACATGAAAAAGATCACAATACTGAATTCTTCAGCATGCAGATAAGAGCCACATTTTCAAAAAAGTTAAAAATAACCATCAGCATGCAAAAACCAGCTCCTGACACCAAGCAAATGGCATTTGCAGTTCAGAGTCTGAGACATGCTAAAATTCTCCCATACATAAGCAGCATTATAATTTTTCCATTTTCAGTCCATCTGGTACAGCCAGAAACGTATCACAGTTAAACCTGAAAAAGCTCGTGACAAGCAGACAGACGAATACAGGTATGTTCACAAGACCCATTTAAGGTAATACTGCAACAGCAATACGCTATGCTCTGGAGCGCACAGAACAAGTAGCTAAAATTAAAAGATACAAGCCTAATATTTCTTGTTTACTAATTCTTCCTTACATGATAACTTACTTGACAACCTAAAAAACCTGGTGTGATCAAAGCTTCAAAACGTATTTTTTGGTAAGTAACAACATAGACATGTAACACACTGAATATTAACATCCAAAATAAAAAACTTATCCTTGAATGTGGAACAGAAGACATTTCATTAGTAAGGCTCAAGAATTTGGAAGGGTTCAAAAAAATACTGGATAAGCAAAGAAACCTCAAACCTGACAACTACTATCGTTCTATAGCCACATTTATTTTTTAATGATTAATTCCTCCCGCCATCAGTCCATTAGTGCAGGACACAAACGAGGCACAGTTAAGTCAGAATAAATGAAACACTAAAGGCAGATGATGAAATAGATTAAAATTGAGATTGACAAACTGAAGCCTATATATATATATATATGTGCAAAACTAATTTGCATGTTACTTAGACAATACAAAACCCCCCTACGTTCTATCTATTAGAAAGACTATACAGCCAGGCACAGGGAAAGCCTGCTACCTGTAAATAAGATTCAATTTGACCAAAATATTAACATGAAAATTTTTAAGCACAAGTTAAATTAGTCACACGGATCCTTTTATTCAGAATACATGAATGCGACAACCTGGCAAGTGGATAGCCTTTAGCACTGCTGGTCCATTACAGTTTCATGGACCTAACCTTATTTTGGAATGCTACTTTTAGTGCCTCTGCTGCAGCAACTGAAGCTGCTCTCTGACAGCACACACCACAGATTTCTAAGCCAAGTCTATAGGTAGTCCTGAACTACCTCTGTTTGTCTCTGGAGGCTGCAGTGGCTGCTGAGAAGGAAAGGACATTGATCCATGGTCTTACACTGATATCACTGCTTAAAGAGAAAACTAGATTCCAAAGTCCTACATTTCCTATTTCTTAGGAGTTTTGAATTCATATTTTAAATTTGGATTAGTAGAGAACTCCAAAAACCTGGGATATTTCTACCCAAGTACACTGAAGTGCCAAGCAAAAAAAAAACAAAAAACAAAAACATTTAACACGCTGCTATTACTATTGCTCATGGATCTTGCATTAACCTCCTGAAGCCTTTGTGCACAGAGAACCAGTGTAAGTCAGGGAGATCACTGGATGTCATCTGCTCCCACTCAAAGCAGGGCAACAGATGTGCTTGACCCAAAGTAAACAGATAATGAATCTCCTATTCCAATCTTCACACAAACAAAACTCTCTTGTAAATAGGTTTTTTCTGCATCAGAAAAGTGGGATCAGGTTTAATGCACAGGTACATGCCATATATTAACCTACATTTCCCGTCAACGTTGATGGATAATCCTAGAATGTCATGGAGATAGTAAATGCTAATGTAGATTCTCCTTATTTGCCAAGTGTTTATGGCTATCTAGAAGCTAGATAAATAAACAAACAGTATTTATGTTTAGTCTTAAATGAGACTTTTAGGCAAAAAAAGCAAAACCAAACATTACACCGCCATTTCCTGTCTATATGCCATTTTGATACCACCGATACAGCTAGTTTACGTAAAACTATAATTTAGTTAAGAAATTTATATTTTGAATACATATGAGCACAAGAAGCATTTTTATTTAGTGAACACATGCAGAAAGCCATGATGTTTGCCAAATACAGCCAAATGATACTTGCAAATGGAAGAAAAGTTGAGAGTATAAGCATATTGCTATGAAAAAGCAGGCAATATGCCCATTTCGTATTTTAGAATATTTTTCAACCATCATTTTGCACAGAGTTTTTTAATAAAGTATACTAAAAGTTCTTTAATGGCTGATTGCTTTTCTATTAATTCATGGGGGGTGAGGAAATCACTTGAAGTTGGACCTTTAGAATTGTTTGTTTTGAATAACTATTCTTAAAGAATTTTAACAAAAGATTGACAGATAACACAGAGGTAATTAATTAATGGACTAATTTAAACATGTTGGGAAAACAAGAATTTATCTTTTGGAGGTGGGAGAAAAAAGCTACATAGAAATAAGAGTAAATCTTCACAAATTTCGTATTTTAAGAGTATTCCTAAAGAACCTAAGATACATCTGCTCTGTCCTTTAACCACTGTACAAAATGCACATTTTTAATACAAGTTAATACACAACAGAGAACAAAGGAAAGCCAAAAAAACTGAAAAAGCTTTTGCACAGCAGGATTACACGAGGTCTTGGGCAGCTGTATTCACTGATTGGCTTTGGAAGACCACTTTTTGAAGGTGGTGGTATTAACAATCCAGATGGTATTCTAGAGTCAGGAGAACTCCTAGGAGTAAGCGTAATGGAGGAGATATCTAAACAAGGAGGTGAATCCTCATTGTTACACCAGAAAAAAGTAGAGGGTCTTTGAAACATATGTTCATCATTATCACACTTTATGTGCAGCAGCTGAAAAGGAATCACAGAAAGAGAAAACATTCTGAGGAACAGAACATGGTAATGTCAGGGAAAGAAGAAAAGAAAACCAACACACTTCATACTTCAAAAAAGTTTGTCAGTAACTTGCTATAGTTACAAGATAAAGAACTTGAAAATATTTTAAAACAAAATCTAAAAATACACCACAGTAAGAGGTAGCCCAGTATTAACTGAAATGAAAGCGACTTGCTCCTTGATAATTACATCAAACAAAATGAAGACGGGCATCTTCCCAAAAACAGGTCTTTCAGATGCACTGACAAACGTCTAAATCCACCAACATATCAGCAATATCTCATCTCTGCACATGTAAGTTAGCAGGTAAGCACATATCTGGGGACCAGAGTTACTCTGGTGGTTAAAGCACAGGTCAGAATTTTCTTTCTCCAAATCAGGAAACACCTACCATTTGTATCCTATCGATATTTAAAGAAAAATTAATTATTTAACTAAAATCTTCTTACAGTAGAAGCTCACAGTGCACAAATTTTGATGTTTACATTAATACTTGACTTTGTTTCATTTCCTCATCTATAGAGTTTGAGAACCTGCACATTTCTGGATATATAATACTCTTCTGACATTTTTTCTGTGTGGATGAATAACTAATTGAACTTGGTATTTTCAGTAGGTATCTCAAAAGCTGAGACTCGTTGCAAAGCAAAGGAATCCTCGTGTCCCCACAACAGCAGCACAGGATGCAGGACGGAATAAAACTTTGCTGCTGGGGAAACAAAAATGTTGAGGATGATATTATTCTCTGGATCTCTTAACAAATCCACAGAACAGAGGCTTCGAACAGAGGCAAATGAGTAATATCCACACCAGAATACGATGGTAAGAGCATTCATCTAAGATGACAAAGTGGTAACTGCAAGGTTCTGGTCTGAATTAGGCAGACAAAAACCTGACGCTAGCTGCCTCATACAACTGGGGAGTAATTAACTGTATATTCCAGCAAGATTCATTGTGTATCGAGAGCAAAACTGAGGGTTTTGTGTGCTTTGATAAAAAACAAAAACCCTTAATTTTTTGCCTGAATGGGAAGCATCTGCAATCCTGAAAGTTTTCAAAAGAAATGGATCTTGTCTAAGTGAAAGTAGAAACAAAGAACCTTTATGACTGATCCTGGAAAGAAAAGCAAAAAGGAAATGTCTTTAAATATTGACGAAACATGCCCAACCAATCTTTATGTTGGGGCCAAGCTGTAATTCCTGCCTCAAATCTGAGGAAAACATCTTTGGATAGTTAAAACAAGGCTTTAGAGGACAGATTCATCTTTGAACCTTAACAGAAGGGATTGAACACTTGTGTAGGCAGTTGTTCTTGGCTAGAGCCAAGAGTTTATACACTGAGAAGACGGGAACTGGATCTGTGCTGGAGGTTTTTGCCTGAAAAACCTTCTGACTTGCACAGGCTGAAGCAGTGGTAGATGCATGCAGCAAAAGTTTTGAAGTCTGCTTTTACTCTCTTCATACATTTTTACACAATCAATATGACATGATTATTTCATTAGAAGTTTGCATAACTCCAGTAGAGCAGGATTTAATCAATGATTTTAAACCATTTTTTCAGACTTATGTAGAAAATAAAACATTTCAAATTCTTTTAAACTGAGTTTTTGTTCCTTTCTTTGCTCTCTTTACAGATAAGTCAGGTTAAGGGTACAGGTATCCAAATTTACTAACAATGCCATACTTATGAGAAGAATGACAAATACCACAAAACTCCCTATTAAAAACCTTCAATTCATAAGGAAAAAAAAAGTTTTTATCGCAATTGCAAAGAATTCATCTGTTGCCAAGCTGGAATTGTGAAACAGAGGATTTGGAATGGTAATCAATAAAAATGAAAGCAAAAAAAATGAGAAGACACAGAATTTTGCTTATTATTTCAAGAGTATCCCTAGACTACAGGTAGAAAACTTGCAATGCTACCATGTAATTATTACCATGTAATCCTTGCTGCTACACATATATATGGAAAAAATAGATCTCATAATACTAACACTGGAAGATACTAAATACAAACAGTAAATTAAGGAAGCAAAATATTTCCCTGAAATGCAAAACAGCAGAGGATGAGTAGTTTCCATGAGAAAGCATATATATCACATGAAAAATCATACAGAAACCAGCAAAATGCATGTAGGATGCAAAGCAGCAAAACTATAAGGATGATGAACATATATCAAATCCAGGCAATGAAAGGTTTCAACACAAAACCAGAATATACACTACTGGTATCATTCCAGCCCTGAACATTGAGTGGCCACTTTTCTTCCTCTTTATCTGGCAAGTGATCATCTTAGGACACTTCACACCATATAGGGTGTGGAGCTTCCTATGACAGTTTTGGGAATATGTCCTGACAACAATGAATTTTCACTGGTAATTCTTCATTTGCAGGGCAGCAGAGACGGCCAGAGAAGGTGCTGGGATCTGTGTTGTGAGCGCTGTTCTGCATGTTGCATCCCACGAGGCAGAAGGACCCGTGCGGCTGACTCTGGCTTTCTGCTTGCAGCCCTATGTATTCAAGCAGCCCACAGAAGGACAGGTACAGCAGGGAAGTGTATTCAGCAATGGAAAATAATAACTGGAAGGTCACAAAGAGACGGATTGCACAGAAGGCTTTTCAAATGAAAGAAATATCACCAGATGTAGCAAATGCAAAAGGAGAAGGGAACAGACCCTTCGTCTAACAAATGCAGCCTAAAAAGAGTATAACTTCTGAAACTTAATACTCTTACGCCAAATTATAAAGGAAGAAAATACACTAAAAATACATTAAATTGTCATTTTATATGGCAATTGTATTTCATCTGAGCTCACCACTGCATAACACTGAACATGTAGCATTGATCTGGTTGATATATTACTTTCCAATTTGGACCCACTTTTCATCAACACAGGAATATGGTTATGAAATTAAAATACCAGTTCAGTGGACTTGGTCTTTGTTATGATTAGATATTATTATGTGCCTGTCAAAGGATTTATTTTTGATTCATTCTTCTTAGCATGATGCTGAAGATGCACTGTTTGGCTGCATCATACTAGAAAACGATGCACGATCGAGTTTTTGTTAATACACAAAACATTTCAAAATTGTTTGTTTTTACTAGGTGTCTCAAGACATTGATTGCAATCTCTGTGCCATACCCCCATAAGAATCATGGAAATGTATTAATGAATTAGAAGATGTTTTTCTTCTTTAGAACATTCAAGTTGGTAATATACAGAACAGTCACAGTGGATAACTGCAGTGAATGTTGTAGGGAACTGTGAGTGACCTTGAATTGGAAATTATGTGGTTAGTTACAAACCTACTGACTATAAGCTACCTGAGAGTTGGGACTACTAAGGATATATTAATTTACTAATTCATAAAATACTGTATAAGCATTAGCAGTTTCATTAACTGCTACATCTTTGGTTCATTTAGAAGTTTTTCAGTAACATGAAATCTGATATAGATAATTTCAAATTTAACATCACAAACATAATAGAATTTTAAACCGTCATGAAGAAGTACTCACTGAACTGAATACAGAATATATAAAATTCAAAGAGCAGAAGACAGGCAAATAAAAAACACGTGCATTTTCCCACTTGGCAGTCTTAATGGAAACCCAAATTAAATGATATGCCTAAACACATTCCAAAACTGAAATGTGCTTACAGTTCCAACGTCTATCTTGGGGTATTCTCATGAGTGTGTTTAAGCTTTTTAAGGAGGTTAATAGGTGCAGGTGGCCTATGCTTCTAAGTCATAATTAAAGAACTTTAAAAAAAGCTCTAATCAATCAGTATCTTTAATGCTCCATTTAAAAATGGACATTTTTTGCAACACTGCCATGATAGGAATATGTATTACATACTACTACTTTGACAATACTTATGGTGAATGGAAGAACACTGTTCCTTTTAGGACTGTTTCTCCAATAAGGTTTCCTGCTGCTTTTCAATTCTGCTTCTCTCAGATTTCATCATTCTCTCTTTTAAGTTATTTTCCTAAGCATTCCTGTTTTCTTCCATCTAACTTCAGAGTCATGCAGTTGTCACAACTTACTCTCTGCCTTAAGCATATTGCTCAAAGAGAAAACCTTAAAGGCATGCCTGGTAAACTTCAGCCAAGCCCAGAATAGATTAAAATCAGAGATTCCTTAGCGTCCAACAACAGTTTACTGTTCAGTTAACGATAAAAACTGAGGGTGCTAACTGTATCTTAGCTGCTAACCCAGGCTGCTTTAGGGTTATAACACTAGTAATATAAATAGCAAAAAAAGACGTCATGTGAAACAGCGGTCCCAGGGATACACTGATCTTTGGAGGTTGGATTTATATATCGCAGCAGCATCCAAAATCTTATTGTGATACAAACTTGAGCAGTGTCATCATAAGCAAACAAATGACAATCAGATTGTCTTTATATAATCAAGACCAAATGCAAAAGACACCAGTGACTAATGTATTGCCAAGCCACTAAAACAGATGAAAAATAAACAGTACAGATATGAAAGTAGTAGAAACTTTAGCTGTATATGCAAGGCAGTGAGAGACAAAAGAAACGTCCCATGCCAACATTTCCCATGGCACATGTAAGCACAGCTATAAAGGCAAACTACTTTAAGGAAACTCCTAGTTTGGTATAGACAGATCTATTCAGGAAATGAAAAAAGCGACAGCTTCTGCTGCAGAATATTTCTGCATTGGCAAATATAGACATTTTAGGGACTAACTTTTAAAAGTTTAATAAGACTAGTGTACTTAGAAACATCAACCCCAAAGTAGAAAAAATTATCACTAAGCAGTTTATTATTTACTGAATGTGCTGAACAAACCTAAATAGTTATGATACCCTGACAAGATTGATGATTTGATGTTCAACTTTCACAATACATTTTATGAAAAGTAGTTGATTATACAACCTAGTTTTTTTTTTCCATTTCCAACTATGATCTCATTGCT